ACACACACACACACACACACACACACACACACACACACACACACACACATACACGAAGTGTCTGTGTCTTTTTCTGTTTCTCCCTCCATGTGACTTTTCCGAGGAGGTAAGATTTCCACTATAACTACCACTCTGCACATTCAAATGAAGGAAATGGCAGATTGTATGCCCATCTTGTTGTTAGGGTAAAGTGGAATTTTTAAGTTGAGTGTTATTTATAACACTGAGTGAGATGTTTATAAATGGAGAAAAGTCTAAATGTTCATCTGTCGCCTCCTAAGACAGGGTAGGTCTTAAGACTTGGGTGTTTTTACTTAAGCTCGGAAGAAGATGGCCAGTGTTAGGAAACCCATATTCGATATCTTGGCAATCCCCACATTCCTACTTTACAAGTAGAGAAATTAAAGTTCCCAAAGAGACGGCTTAATAGCACATTCCAATAAAAAGATTCATAGAAGTAATGATGGATGGCTTATTTATAGTAATTCCCTCAACTTTAAAACTGCTGTATTATACTGGAGTAGTGATATGGTTGTAATTAACCTAGTTATTAAGAATAGGAAAGGAGCAAAGGGAAGGCCAAAGAGTATAGACATACCATTTGGGCAACTTCTCCAGGAAGCTAGAGCTTTATACTCCCCAGGGAGCCACCAGTCCATATCCCCGAAGATCCCTGGGGGAAGGGACTGGACAGGGAGGAAAACAGACGCATGCCCAGTAAAGTTGGGGTGACACTGGGAAGGTACTTGCCTGTCAGTCACACCTGGGAACAGGTAATTGGCCAGAATGGGTATGGCCACCCAAGGGTACAAAATTTGGAATATTTAACCCCCTAAATAAAGAAATTCCCTTTCTTGATTCCTCTTGGCATGCTAGGCTCATGGTTCATGCTCGGCTCTCCTGTATTTGCTCACAGGGCCCACAGCCATGTGGAACCCCACACGCAGTGGGCTGATGGGCCCGGTTCCAACATGGAAAAAGCTCTGGACACTGGCCTTGCTCCCAGCGTTCCTGAAACCTCAGCTACACTTCTGTGACTGGAAGGGGACTTTGGAAACCCAGGGACGTAACTCCACGCAAATAAAAATCACCCATCCTTCCTCCTGTGCGAGACTCAGAAAATTCTTTTTCTCAAGATATCATAAGGACCCCTCCCCCAGCACCCAGTGGGGAAGAGGAGACCCCAGTTTCCTTGATAACAGTAGAAGGTGAATACAGAACGCACATTCGCTCAGTTATTGCCTGCCTCCCTCCCTCTCCCTTTCTCCCTCTCTCTTTCTCCCTCCCTCTCTCTCTTTCTCCCTCTCTCTCTCTCCCTCTCTCTCTCTTTCTCTCTCTCTCCCTCTGTCTCCTTCTCTCTGTCTCCCATTCGCTCAGTTATTGCCTGCCTCCCTCCCTCCCTCTCCCTTTCTCCCTCTCTCTCTCTCTCCCTGTCTCCCTCCCTCTTTCTCTCTCTCTCCCTCCCTCTTTCTCTCTCTCTCTCTCCCTCCCTCTTTCTCTCTCTCTCTCTCCCTCCCTCTTTCTCTCTCTCTC